AACAATTTGTCCTAGTGGTCATTCGCAGTATTGCAACTACAAAATTGCCTGCAGTCCAAAAAGCATTTTCTGCATAGATCACGATTGTAAAAGAGACATCTCACAATGCTCACATGTTGATGTTTAGCAGCTATTATATTAACCACGTGCTACAGCTCACGCTAGTGTATTAGCATGCTAACATTAGCTAATTAATGCTAAACCCAGAGTAGGTTTGCAAGTATATAGCCATATGCAAAATTATTCAACCAACTGAAATTTTAACTCCAAGATGGTGCAAGATAAATAGTTTCTTTGACCAGATTTACAGTTTACTGTACATTGAGGGGAAAATTTTTGGGTTCATAAAATTTTATGGCAATCTATCTGCTTTAGAGTTTCTCTTGCGTGACCATGAGGTTAACGTTTGTGTTTTTCAGAGAAAGATCCCAACATTGCGAGGATTGCAGTGAAATTTGATGTACACATTTATGTTCTCCTGAGGATGCATCGTGACGTTTGATGACCCTCCGACTTTTGACCCAGCATCACATTCATATCAGAATGTAGATTTGTGCAATTGTTTCCAACCAAATACCTGCAGAAATAATGACATGACATTTGCATCAGCCTCAGCTGTGCTTGGTGTCAAAGCACAGCTTCACAGAGCTGCTAGCATGGCTGTACAATCCTAAGTCTTGTTTTCGCCTTGTTATTTATTTGTGCACAGACACAAAGATTTGCAGGGAGAGTTTATTTTACTTAGAATGATGTGTAATAATTGATATAGAAAAAGGAAAGCAATGCATGATGACGGCCCAATCCTGAGTAATAAAATTGGGCTGATAGCCAACATAATCTTGCTCCTCTGTGTTTTTAAATGGTCTGGTGCTGTTTGACAGTTGTTTTGGATTCAATTAGATGTGCATACATGAAAACACACACACACACACACACACTCCAGTCCAGCATACCTGCAGGACTGAGCTCACTGGGTCAAATCTGACAGATAATCAGAGGGAGAATGTAGCCGCTGCTGTCTGTTTATGGATGACTATCTCATGTTTACTTAAGACTCGTCTCATCAGCGAAGGGGCAGCACGCCATTTAAACCCACTCGCCAACACACACCGACCAAGAGGAGACCCTCACATATTCACAACTGCTCACAATGATTACCCCGAAGCAGCCCGAGCTGTGAGTCACATCTGAAAAATGGCAAAACAAGCCGAGATGGACAAGCAGGAGTTTTGTGTCGAGCTTTGAGTCAAGACGTAGGAATGCCGCCATCTGATGATTAACTACGGTGTAAACCTTGGATGGAGCGTGGGCTGTCTGCTGCCTCACACACACACACACACACACACACACACACACACACACACACACACACACACACACAGAGCCAGGTGCCCGTCAGGATTCAGAGTTATCCAGCACGTCCCGGCTTGTGATCTCAGTCCTCAGCATTCCTTGAGAGAATGAGAGCGCTGTGCCAGTGTGTGAGGTTAACGTTGTCTCACTCCAGCAACATTTATTTTGTCACCGCTGGTATGATTAATTACGCTTCCTGACATCTTATAGTGTGTTCTACACGTCGCAGTTATGAGTTCTAGAGTGCCAAAAACGCATATTTGAATGACTTCATCTAATATTTACCTGTAAAATTCCCGAAATCACCTTAAATAAATACACAGTATTACACAAAGCATACAAACTCGTGGTGAGTGCGATAAAACACTAGATTATGTTCGGTTTTGCTTTAGAGATACAACTACGGAGGGAGTTTTTGACATTTTTTTTTTTTTTTACGACAAAAGCTACAAGAGTCAAAATTTCTGAACATCAAATTAACAATCGAAATCAAAAATGACACAAAATCAGCATTTGAAATTGGAAAGTGATTCCTTCAGTTGCTGAATTGAATATTGACAAATTTAAAAAATGGAACATGGCATGATTTACAAGGTACTCTGGTGTAAACATCTGCACCACAGGAAGTGGATCCAACTGCTGCTTCTCTGTTTTTTTTGTTGTCTTCCTTATTTTTCTAATATTGACCATTTATAACTCGGTGGCATGCAGACCACTAACAGTCATCCCTCCTAAATCTTATTTTGATTCATTGTGCTGGTAACTGTCATGAATTTAAATTTAAAATCTGCAATGTCAAGTTGATGAAAAAATACCATATTTCAGCAGTGAAAATGGTAAAAGTTAAATAAGGTCACGCAATTATTATTAATAAAGGAACACCACAAATCACTGTATGACATTCTCAACATTAAGTCCACATTTTCAAATTAACTTTTGTGTCTGCTGCTACATATAAACTAATTTAGCTGATTTCCTATTTGCTGATGTAATGGTCTGATTTTCTTTCTTTCTTCTTCTTTTTTTTGTTGGCTCCCTTAGATAAACAGAACGGAACATTTTCATTTTACTACTTGTTCACTGTGCCACAACAAGATGGGAAACTTCATCCTGTAGGATTTCCCAACAACTGCACAATGTCCCCTCATAGCCTTTCTAGAAGACATACAGTCATAATGTAATTCAAAGGTCGCAATCAAGACTTACTGCTTTAATTTAAGGGGTTTAATAAACATTTTGCATTAACCACTTAGTAATTACAGCCCTTTTAATATAGTCTCTCTATTTGACATCATTCTAAATTAATATTCAGATCCATTGTAGTGGAGTAAGGAGGCAATGTTGAGAAAGTTGTGTCACTATCTAAGTACTTCTGGACCCGTCTGTGTGCTCTTGATACTCATGCTTCTTTAAATGCCAACAACAAACCGCAGTTTGCGTTAAATCTCCACTACTGCCATTAAAATCCGCTTAAGACCCGCCTCCTTCACTGTAATGAGCAGAAATCCACTGCACAGATTTGAAAAGCTATAAAAATAAAAATATCGGCAGGTTTTTTTGGGTTTGGATTAAAACTAGAAAATTTATTTTATACATCTGATTGTAATATTTCTCATCTTCAACTCTATTTGATCCACTTTGGATTATTTTGCCAAAATATGGAGGAAACTTTGTTCATTAAGACTTAACTGTGTGTGTGTTTCTTACGTTTGCAGGAGTCGGGGGCCGTCTGCGGTCGCTGGGGGTCTCTGTAGAAGCCAGCCTTGCATTTCTGACACTGACGCCCTTCAGTGTTGTGCAGACAGTCGCAGACGCCTCCGCTGCGCTGGCCGGACTCGCGCCATGCCGTCCAGTCAAAGTGGCAGCTCTGAGCGTGTCCGTTACACTTACACTCTGGAGTGGAAGGGAGGAAATCAGCACATCAGGAACTAAGACACTGGCTGTTTGATTGGAGTTTGTACAATAAAGGAATATTTCACTGAAAAGTTTGTACTTTCCCTGCGACATATCTGTGTATTGTTAGTTCACCCCATGATTCACTCATCACAGCTCCCAGGCTCTCCTGGAAGTAGTGTTTAATCACTTTTCAACAAGTTGAGTTCATACTTAAACTATGGATCAAAGTGGATCATACTGCATCAGGGGTCTCATAAGAGTTTATCGGCATTTTGATCGTTGTTGACACCTTTCTTGCTTTGTACCAGTTAGCAATTCAACTGATAGCCATCCTCCATGATGAAGTTTTATTGGTGGGTTTTTGCTTTACTTCAAAACTTGTGACAAAAGTTGACCTAATATTTGATGCATGTGTGTTTTGTAACTTGCACACAGCAGGAACTGAACAGCCCCTGATTACTCATAATACAAACTGTGCTTGATTTATTTTAGATTCTTATTTGATTTTGTTAATATTAACCTTTCACTGGTTTGCCATGTGACACCCACGAATTCTACCACATGCTGCCATATCCTGTGACTACCTCCAGGACTCTCCTTCCCTGTAGGGCCTCTTCTGGGCTTGGATATCATGCATCGATCAGTATGCGCTGTGTACAGGTTTCTACAGATGTGTCATTGATATCATCAACAGCAGCACCACTTGGAAACTGGTTTACCACCGACAGTATTTAACTCTAGTGGCGATGTTGTTCCTGAGGTGGAAAAGGTGCGTTTGCTCGACTCACTCCGACATTCGTGTGGAGCTCCCGTCAGTCCGTCAGCAGGCTGCCAGGGTCGGTCGTTGTAGAGCGCAGCGCAGCGCTCGCAGTGATCACCTGCAGTGTTGTGTCTGCACACACACTTCCCATGGACCTGACAGAGACAGAAAGAGCTCATTAGCAACAGGCAACATGACAGACAGAGGTAGAGATGGAAGGATGGGAGGAACAAAGAGGTCAGTGTGATGGAGAGGAAAGTTTCCCACATGAGGATGAGCCTGCTGGAGGTGAGGCTTCTTCCTCTTATTCCCACCATTACCCCCTTTTCCCTTTCCCTCTTCTGTGTTCTGTGCCTCTTCTTCTTCTCCATTTCCTCAGATTTTCTTATTTCCTCCTGCTCTATCTCTTTCTCTTGTACACCCTCGCCTGAAATTAGTGAATGGAGATTGATTGTTTCGCTTCATCACTGGAAACAAGAACGGGCCTCTGCTCTGAAAAGCCTGTGTGTGCGCTTATGAGTATGTGTGTATGAGAAGAGTGCAAGTATGCGGCGCTGAGAGCACAATAACAATCTCCTTGTCATTCCTGTGAGCTGGAATGCCATGCATGCTGGATAATGATTGAGGGGGGGGGCAAGGCATCTGAGGAAGCTCTTTATTTGTTTGCGTTACACCGTGCGACTGTAATGTAGGACACACAATTATACGACTGCAGAGGTAGACGCGCGCTAATCATCATGCACACGGGCATAGAAAATAGCTGCAAAAGCACGAAAACACACACACCGATTCTTGCATTTGTTTCCCACGGTGTGCGATGTGTCACTAACTCCTGAATGGCTCTGATTCACACACAAACGCAGTGCACTGAGAATAGACTTTAAACACATCCACATGCTATAGGAGCTGAGCTATAAACAACATGTCCCCTGCCTGAACTGACCCCAGATCAGGCCCCGAAATGTAGAGGTGAACGCACACATATGCACACATGACTGGTTTTACACACATGGTCACAGCATTTCAATCACACTAATAGGGGGAGCAATTGCACAAATGAGAGGTCCGGGCAAATGGGAGGCAGGAGACCTAATGACACATTTCACAAAAAAAAAATGAAGAAGAATTAATGAAAAGAGTGGGAGAAAGGAGAGAGAGGGAGGAGGGGGGGGGATAAAGAAGATAGGGGGTAGAAGAAGGGGAACGGGCCAGAAACAGCAGCAGCAGCAGCATCTGGCTCGGGTCCAGACAGCTGGTATTTCACATGTTTACCATACCGTGATATGGGACAATTAACACATGTACACACTGAAGACTGCACACACCCAACCATGTACACTCAGCCAAACTGTGGACAGGCAGGGCTGGACTGAAGCTGCTGATAGTTCGTATCAGCCGTTAGTATCTTTAAATTAGTCCGATGTATAGTAAAAGAGAAAACTTTTCTTTTTGTTTGCAGAATACAGAAGAAGATGCGTATGGCGACTTAGAAATTTTGTCATTAAATAGTTTGTCCATGAGAGCAGCTCTGACTTTCTCTTTACAACACTCTCAGCACTGTCTGCAGCACATGTAGCAGAGCATGTATCACATCCGAGCAAGTAGCGGTGCGGAGTCAAGCAGTGTCTTCACAGCAAGTTATATAAAGCTATACTTATGAACTATAAAGTTTAGAAGTTTAAGTAAAAATATATCTTACTTCCAGCTGCTCTAGTTTTAAAATGTAGATACTCTAGTTAGAGTTCTTATTATTTTACTAACTTTGCCTTTTAATATTTCATTGCAATCTAAGTTTGCTGTCAGTGTGTCGAAGGTTTTTACTCTCTTACTCGACGACATTGTAAACGATTCCTTCATACCTCATTGTACTCCAAGTTTAAATGAAGGTGGATGAAATAAATGAAAATAAAAACAGTGGCTGATATGTTAAAACATTTCTTGCTCCATAAATCAGTGTTGGCCCCAACAACTCATTATCAGTTGAGCTTAAGTTAAATGTGTCTACTTTCATACCAAGAAGGGAGCATTATGCGGGTTTTTAAGTGAATCATTTTCAGAAGGTCAGATAATGTGCAAAACAAGCAAATAAATAAATAAATAAGGAAACAAAAGGTACGCTTGTTTTACTCTTTCTTAACAGGGGCACAAATGCATTAAAGAGGTAGAGATGAAAGCAATAAACTGTACAGCTGGTGCCATTATATGTCAGTTAATCAAAAGGAATATAAAATTAGGTTATTTTCTAAGGACTCAAAATGTCTAATATTATGTAAAAATTACCGGCCTTATAGTTTTTTAGTGTCTCCAGTTTTTAAGTCGGACCCTCATATTGGTGTCACCTACATATTCCCTGTTTGTTCTAACTATACATTATCATGATAACACAGTGTTTGCAAATGTTCAAAAACTATTCAATTTAAACAATCGTAGGTAATCTCATCAAACTATTACATTTGTTGTGAATCAAATTCCACTTCTGTAAATGTGAAATAATGTAAAGCTAATCACTCCAGTGGCTTTCAGCTTATCAGGAATATCCACGCATGCATCTGACACTGTAGAAAGTTCCCTCCGGAGCTGTGGACGACATGATGCAGCCGTTTTTTACATGTTGTAGAATTTCCTTAACATGCATTTAGTTCAGTTATGAGCCACGCTGGTGAAATTTCACATAGTTTATTAATACTCATGATGAAATGCAACCACTGCAATGTGTGCTTTCTACACTACATCAGTCCTTGCAGGAAAGTCTCACCACTCTGTAGTCATCTTGGTAACGCCCTGAGCAGTTATTTTGAGCTGACAGAACCAGGCTGCTATCTCAATGGATGGGGAGAGAGAAATAACTGCAATTTCAATGGTCACTAGGTAAAAAAAACTCAGCATATACAGAATAACCAGTCAAATCTGATCAAAACTGCCTAAAAAGATTGTGGACTTTGCCCCAATAATAACATTTAAAGAATGTTTATCCTCCAAAGTTAGTGCGTTTCTTGCTTACGTCTTAGCTTCCTCCAGCGAGGATGTGAGAGAGAACGATGTGAAGATTGAGGATCCACAGACTTCTCACAGAAGAGAAAGTACAAGTGTGCTAATGATGGTTTTATTCCATTTAGGATGTTTTCTGCATTTGTGCTTGCTGGTTGACTGTCATGGCTGCCGGGACACCAAATGGTTCTGAGCTGCTATCAATACACCTGTGCGTTCACCACCATAACAACTCAAAATGTCAAGACTTATCAAAACAGGTCTTGCAGATTTGTGCAAGAAAAACAAACATCTGTGCCTCATTATCTCCAAACTGGCATTTAATACTATTAACTTGAGAGTCAGACAAGCAAAAATCTTTTGCTTACAGAAGCGATTTAAACTAATCCTCCTCCAGCGCGCATAAATGCAGGTCTGGTGTCACGCTGGTGGACAAAAGCAACAGGAGAAGCACTGTGCTGAGTGATATTCCTCTGTGAAGGACTGGGAAAGACAGAAGAATCCAATACACAAATGACAGAAATATAAAGAAAACAGAATAAGGTGATATGAAAAGAGAGGTAGATGGATTTGTACACAGAATGAAACACACAAACACACACACAACATGACAGAAATAATTGCTGCTAACGGTCTGGTAGCAGACCCCGGATACCATTAAGTGTGTGTATGTTGGCTTTGTGGCTAACTAACAGACAGTGTAATCCCCTCAACCGCAAAACCCCCTGTGGGGCAACAGGAGCACAAAACAACAACAACAACAACAAACAAATTGGCCCTTTCCTCTCACAGTGTCTGAGCAGTAATGACTACCAGGGCCACTTTCTCCACTGATTACTGCACACACACACACACACACACACACACACACACACGCTCAGACAAAACACACACCTATTACACCCAGCAGAACAAATAATAACATAATGGCATATATGAATAGAACACAACACAATGCTGCACTTGTACGTTCAGCACAAAAGGCACATTCTGGAGTTCACACAGATTTATAAAAAGCCCAGAAGTGCACAACCACCCTTTCCTTCTCTGTGTGATCAGTAATCTCTGCCCTCATCTCCTGTCTTGTGCTGCTCTGCTTGTTTGGGTTTTGCCAGAAACAGCGGCTCTGGGTTGAAACGGAGACACAAAACAAACTGCTGATAGGCGAGAAAAGGCACTTATATAACGTCCGTGTGTGTGTTTGCCGATCGCTCCCGCATGGCACACGGCACACAGCGCTGTGGTGACCCGGGGTAATGTTGTGAGGACAGTTAAGAAGGATTTACTGCTCAAACTTTAAGTCTCACGTGCAGTTGGACTAATACTTGTGGCAAAAAAAAAAAAAATCACCCGCTCTGTGTAATATTTCTCACCAGTATGCATTAAAATGATTTATTATGAATGTTATGATCCTGGCGTGCAGAGGGGGGGTTTAATAGTCCTTTGGCTTCAGGACTGATTGAGAGGCTTTCTATCCTCAGAAGAAGGAAATCCTCATGAAAACACTCAGTAGAGCTACTTGGAATTTCTTGGCATGAAAACAGTCAGATTTAATGATTTAAAGAAGTGTGTCCAATAAATCGGCTATCAGCACCTTCATTACAAAAATTGCTGGTATCAGAGGAAAGAAAACACTCATTCATTTCTCATGTAAAAGACTAATCTAGTTGTCGGTTTCATATCAGTGTAAAATGTGTGCTCTTTGGGTTTTTTCAGCTGCCTGTCTTTAGGCGATATCTGGGCCCTGATAAGTAATGTTGGGTTTGGATGTCTCTGCATCATTCTGTGTTCAAAATGATTGACTGGCTAATTGAGGAGATGATAGATGGAGGAGGAAAAATACGCAAAGCATTCAAAATAAATTCAATAATAATCCCTTCCAGGAACTCTAATTGCAACCTGTATGAAAAAGAGTTAGAGGCAGGTAGCTCTCACTCTGTACACTGTAAAACATCATAAAAAATGTAGTCAAACCAACTTATCTTTTCCAGTTTACTTAATTTAACCATGTATGTTTTTTTCATTTCTACTCAACTGAATTTAAATGATGAAGAAACTTTTCAGATTTAGAGAGTGTAAAAGAAAAGCAAGGCTCTAGCTGTTGATTCAACTTAATATCTTAAGTTGACCAAACTTGCTCTCTCAAGTCTTAATTTAAGCCTGCCAGTTTTACATTTTGACGTCTCTTAATCAACCTAAATGCAGTTCTCACATTTTTAGAGCAGCAGGAAAGTTTGGTTTCTAAGCTGAATGAACCTAAATTGATTTACAGTACAGCCGAAGCCTGCGGCCAGTTAGCTTAGCTTAGCTTAGCAAAAAGGCAACTCGAGAAACTTGTACAGGTTACAGGTTTTCTGTGTACAGTGTCATCACAATAGAAAACTATTATGGTTCAAATATAAACATATGATTGATGTTCTCATGAACTGAATTTGCTATTTAAATTGTTTTGCAACAAAAATGAGTCTCCAGTCGTGCTAACAGCTCTGTGAAGCCGCGCAGCAATGCCTTGTGCTACGTGCTCATGTTACTATACTGAAAAATGTAAATATCATCTGGTTTTCCAATCAGCCCTACAAACCCATTATCAGTCAGAATGTACTGCTGTGCATACTGATGCAGTACTATTGTTTATCCGTCTAAATGTCTTTCTATAGGTCGTAAAGGAAACTCTCACTTTCCTGTCGAGCCTCGCTGATTGCAGCAAAACAGGCGCTGGGCTTCAAAGACGTCCACTGTTTGTGGAGATGGTCGTGATAGGAGCCCAGCTCTGAAACACTTCTGGTTGATCTCCAGACATTGTCTCTTCACACTTTATCAACACACACGTACATCAACACCACCATTAAACCACAGATTGAATCAATATCTCCATCTCCTGAGGTTGTTATCAGCAGACACGCAGCTGTTTATCTGAGCAGACAGAGTCAGAGGAGCAGAGGAAGCAGGAGACACAGAAAGGTGACTCCTCCTTCACTTTGTTATTAACACAACTGTCGAAACAAAGTGAACAGACCATTTAGTCTGGAAGCATCAAGCCTTAAAATCTTGGTTTCCTAAGAACAAGTGAAAAACTTGCCCGTGGGGTGTGATTACTTCATGATAATTATCAACACAAGTGAGACTTGACGGATGGAGAAAGATGTCAAAACAAGGCAGGAGAGGAAGAATGGTGCAATTAGCATCACAGCTTCAGCATCGAGTTTGTTTGCATTAGAATTGTAATTATTGGTTAGAAAAAGGAAAAAAAAAAACTTAAGACACAAAATAGTTTTTTCAAACTGGACTGTGCCTCAACATTTTCTTGTCAAACTACTGTTTTCCAGGATTAGGAGTGAGCATTCACACTCAGGCTATGAAAGCAGTAATGCAAAGGTGTTTAAGACCTAAACGAACAACAAATAAGGTGAAGGCCATGTCCACAATCGCTCCTTTGTTCATTCATTGACTGCTCTCCATAGTGTTTAATACATGCTTATTAGTTTATTATATTATTAGAAGTCAGTTGAGATTTTAGATACTTTTTTAAAAACTTTGTCATTTTTGTGTTGATGCATCTACAAACTGCAACAAATTATACGGCTTTGTCTGTGTGTCTGATGTGATAAATGAAGCATGAAAGACTGATTCTAAGTATTCAAAGAAAATTGAGTTATGTGACGTCTGTTGCCGGCTGGTGGTGTGACCAAGAACATCAAGCTAGCAGTCAACAAGTAAAAAGCTTTTGATCAGTACAAAACTACCTCCTGGCTATTTCCAGCACTCTCTACCACATCACAAGGTCTTTATGACATTTTCTGAATTTGGCATGGAAATATAAGTGGCTAAATCATGACAAAAGTTTTCACGCGATGACAACTGAACCAGAAACTGCAGAATAACTGGGATGAGATGTCATTGAGAGCCTCAGCAAGAGCTAGTAAATGGAGATTAAGTACAGATTGTTTCTCATACTTTCATTTCTAACGTCAAGATTGAAACCGACTCTTAAAGGTTTAACTTAATATTTCGAGACTTGATACGTAAATAAATGCTATGTGAATAAATGTACTCTCTGACTGCTCCCCTCTTACCACGTGGTTGGTCCGGTCCCTGATGGGCTGGTATCCCGGTGCAGGAACACACTGCTCGGCGTGGCCGTTACAGAAGCAGCTTCCCTTCACTATCAGGTCGTAGATGGCAAAGTGCCGAGTGGGAAGATCTTCGTGTGCGGACGCGAGGTCTTTGGCCTGGCAGGGACACGCCTGTCGCTTCAGCAACCGGATTCTGATGTTGGTGACCCTCAGCTGCTGCTGGCCCTCGGCCCCAAATGGATCCAGGGACTCCCACTTTGGGAGGGTTCGGTAGATCACCTGACCAGAAATCACATGACATTTAAATTTGCATAAAAGACGACATACTTTGGTTTTTGCTTGACTCGTGATTCAGTGAGGCCAAATAGGCATTTTGTGATGATGAGGCAGTGGGGATGATTAACTAGTGTGCCGTTACTTTGGGGAATTTAAGTTTAATCTAAACCTAAAAATAGTTCAAATTCATTTTTTTTCTGTCCCACCAATTGCGTATCATTACGAGTTTGCACCCCATTTAAAACATAAGCAGCTTCTCCTTCAGAATCGTTGCATTGAAATAATGGGCAGTTAGGGAAGATTTCTTTGGGTCATGTTCACATCACATCATTTAGATAAAGTTCAAGCGGCTGAGTGAGAAAACCCAATCACAGAGTTAAAACAGTTTGAAGATATCACAAATTTCTAGTGGCTGTGACATCTTTCTCTTACAATATTCGCGTTTCACCTAACAAGCTACACAGGTACAACACAACCAAATAAGTGTTTGAAGACATTTTCTTGATTTTAAGCAGGAAACTGGGGATATTGAACTTAAAGTACAATCTTATGCATGCTTAGTTCTTCCTTAACAAGCTGACATTTTTTTGTTAGATGTGCGTATTTATGATTTTCATTACTTTAATGTCTTGAATTGTGGAAACAATAATAAAATCTGGCGTTAAAGAAGAAGAGATGGGATTCTCTCTCTGTGGTGGCTCTATTTCATGATTTAGAGGTACTAGACAGCCGTATTTATTGGCACAATCTGGTTCATTGATGCTGCTCATGTCGCTACATCTGCTACTTGTGCACTAAAACTGTAACCTTGCACCCCGCCATCATTGGCTATGTCCTCACGTGACCATGAGGGTGCTGGGTGTCCTTAAATGAGTGCACTCCCCCCTCCCGTCTCTTCCTCTCTTTACTCTGTCTGGTCCATGGACATCCTTCAAATCGAAGATCCCTTTATGGGCTGCCATCGCCATGGCTACTGCTGCCACTAGCAACCAGCACCGCTGCTGTGGTTGGGGTGAAAAAGTTGGTGTCTGCCCCAACTCTCGCTGTGAAAGAAATGTGTGTGTTTGTAGTGTGTCTCTTTACTAGAGTGTGCGTTGTTGTCACTGATATCATTGTATGAGTTGTGTGTGTGTTTATGTGGGTGCGTGTGTGTTTTCTTTGGTTGAAACACTGGTTGAGATGCAAGAAAAGCCCCCATGCTGCTCCCTGATTGGCCGGATGACTGGCCGAGAGTGTGATGGGAGGAGCACTATTAATTTCCCTGTTGTTGGAAAAGGTCAGGGGGTCACGGCATTGTGGTCCGCAATTAAGAGAACACGACAAATAGGACGAGGGGCGCCGGTCCGCGGGAGAGCACGGAGAGCAGGGCCAGACAAAGACGGGGATGGAGATGCAGCTTCACATAACTCAGGGCTGGACAAAAGGCCTGCGACAGCCCGGCGACACCACAGCAACACCAGCACACACACGCACCCACGCTGGCATGCACACAAACATACACTGACAAAACACATCAGTGCTTGGCATTCTTTTACATAGAAAAAAATCCACCAGAGGCCTTCTTGGAAATTTTACTACACAATCATGTCTTATAGTTTTTCTTAGAAGAAATAAAATAATCATATTTGCAGATATGCTGATGACACCCATGTCTATCTTGTGCTGCTTGCTGTAAAGGGCCAAGTCAAATGACGTCCTCGGGGTCTTTAAGAGGTTAACGGGAGGTTGTCAAAATGAAGAGAATTTTAACAAATACAGAAATTTGTCTCTATGCATTTAGCTGTTTCTAAAACTAATTTGTAGGTCTATTATGAACATTTAGTTAGTGTATTTGTGTTGTCTTTCCATCATTTTTTGCCACCTTCTATTACATCAAGCATTTAGTGAGTTGCTTTTGACCTTGTTTACCATACATTATGGAGAACACAACTTTTGAATGCCTTCAACAATTTCCTCCAACAATGAAGATAAAGTATTTACAAATATGCTGATGACACTCATGTTTATCTTAGTATGTCTGCTAAGTCCAAGGATGTCCCATGGCTCTTTAAGAGGTTATAGCAGGTTATATCACTGCAGGTTAGAAAACAAAACAACAAAAATGTGCAAATATGGCATACCTTGACAAGACAAGGTCAAAGCCACTGTTTTCAGATTTGCATACTTTGAGTCCATTTTGGAGAATTTTAGAAAAAACAAAACAAAAACCCCCACACTGTTTTAGGCTGGATGGGGGTTGGGGGTGGGGAGGTCAAACCGAGACAACAACAATTTACTTTTGTGTCCAAGAAGTTTTTGTCTATGGAAAATTGAACCATTAATACCACTAGGAAAGTATGAAACACCAGAGACTTAATGAATATACTGAGTTGAAACTGTTCTGTAGGTGAAAAGTTTTACACCTGCCATGCAACAAATCTCCGGCTCTATGAAGTAGTAGGATCACTGTGGGCCACTAAGTATCCGTCTTCCTGTTTCAGGCTGAAAAATAAAGTAAGCCTGGCTTTAACAGGCCTAATTCCATCAAAGCACTGTGGACTGTAATCTGGTAAACAGGCACAATGGGCATTGATGGAAGGAGAAAGACGGAGAGGGAAACAGAGAGGGGGGATGGGTGTCTAGCCAACAGTACCAACATCCATCAGAGCAACGGCACTTCCTTCCCAGCAGACAGACGGAGAGCCGACTGTATGTGTTTATCTGAAAGGGCACGGACGAGTGTGTGTGTGTGTGTTTGAGGAACTACAGAAAAGAGGAAGAACATGCATGTATGTGTGTGTGTGTGTGTGTGTGTGTGTGTGTGTGTGTGTGTGTGCAGGCTGGTCTGCCTCTCTCTCTTCCCTAAGGAGGTCAGTCTCTACAACAAACACTCACATTCTTCCAGCCCAGCTGACCTCATAAATAAGACAAGGAGCCCTGAATACTCTCTCTCTCTCACACACACACACCACCTTTTCCCCACATTACAGGTGAACACGAAAAGCTTTCAGCGTATGAGATGACATGCTTTCATGTTTGCGGGACAAAGAGGAGAAGCAGAAAGCTGAGAATACCTGCTGCCTGTAATCGCTCCCAGCTACGAGGCCCCCTCCTGCTCCAAAAACCTCCGCTGCCAACCATCACAGCTCACACTTATCTGATCACAGACGCTCACTCACATGCAAGCCAACATGCTTTGATACACACTGAAGAAACACACATGAAGCACAGTGTGTTCGCACACACATGCATGCAGTGAAACTTTGTATCAGTCAGATTGTTTCATCGAAGGCTGAGCAGCAAACCTGAGACCAAAAGTGTTTCTATCTTGTCTCATGCATCTTCCATCCAATTGGATCTGTACCATCAAAGGTTGTGAAATCTGGCTCACTGACTGGGGGCAATTCCCTGATTCTTTTCAACAAGTTTAATGTGTAACGCCACCAATAGATTGAAACTGGAGATGCGGTTATACATGTAACTTTTGAAACATATTCCCAGTTTTCAAAAATGAGGTAATGTTGGATTCTGTGGATCAAACCGAGTTCAAAGCATTCTGTGATGTCAATTTCTGCCATATTGGATGCTATGAAAAAGTTTGCTCACAGACCAAAATTGGCAGAGAAGATCTTCAAACCAAACTTCACAGAAGTTATCATGTGGATTTGTTTTTCGAAACCATTCATCCATCACAGCCAACTGAAATTGGTGGTGGATGTGCCGAACAGTATTTGAGGTCACATCTCAGCAATGCTTTGATTTTGATTTTGCCTTTCAGGACCCCGCTGGGAGGAAGCACAAAAAGTTATGTGGTATTTTACCTCTAGGCAGTGTGGCAGGAAGCAGAAATGTGTTATTCCAAATAGCTGTTGATGTGTTCGCCTTAAACAAAGTAGAGGTCCCATGTCGACTTGTAATGTCAATGTAACTGATGCATCCACCCTGTTGAGTTTCATCAAAAGATTTATTTTTAAACACCAAAATTCACCAAAATTGGCATGGATGGTATTTAAACTAAACCTTACAAAAGTTATCAGATGGATTTTTGATTTTTGAAACCATTTGTCACATCTTAGCAACTGTTTCATGTATTGACACCAAATTTGGTTCTTTCACTAAGTTATGCATTTTATTAGCAGTGCTCATCTCCCTGCATACAAATGTTCCACTAAAACAATTCCCTCAAATTCCCTTGAAAACACTATTTCTACAGAACTGCCCAAGAAAAAAAACACAAACAAAGCTCTCCTGCCGCAGAATGATGATGTGGTGCAGTCAGATTATTCTACACGGTGGTCTGGTTATGCAAGACTAGTAATATATTAATAGAATTATAAAAACAAGTCCATTACATGCACCCAAAATGAGATGATGTCTTCAAATGGGTTGGAATGGAAGATATGCAGGTTACATTGTTATGACCATAACAATCAGCAGCTACTCACATCGGAGGAGCAGATACCAGTATTATAAATAAACTGAACAATGTCATGTCTGTTCAGCACCAAGCAACAGCAAGTTTATGTGAAAGAGGTTTGAAAACCATGAATATTGGTTTGTTCTTTGATCATTAACTATGGTGTTCAATAGTTTATAGGATCGCGGTAATGCACAACTGAGAAAGCTGCTATTTGCAATTTAAAAAAAACAACCCTACTAAATCACAGGCGCCCTGAGGCCTTGGGAAAGTGTGCCTACAGACACACCACATATTTACACATGATACATGGAGACAAACACACTGCACAATGTGAGGCTTGTCATGTCACAACCTTGCACAGGCCATTGTTTAGCTGTCATTACAGGTGATGTACAGTCGCAGCTTCAACACACGAAGGCAGGGAAGGTGTGAACAGCTGAGCAGAGGCAGCAGCTGGTCTGTCGGAGCGCTACTTGACCTCTTTTAACCTCAGGGTCATCAGCTGAGAGGTTAGAGGGCAGAGGTCCTGCTCCCAGCACAGGTGGCTGATGCTAACATGTGCAGTCAGAAGTAAAACAGGTTGCTATTTTCACACCTTCGCGTGCAAGAAGAGTTGAAGAGAAAATTAATTCTACTAAAGGTGCAAACAGACACAAGCAAGCGCAAAAAAAGACAGAAAAAGGCCTCAACAGCCGTCAGAAATACTTTGCAGCAGTGGGAGCACGTCAAAGAGTGCATCAACGTACGTTACATATGAGAGCACTGCAGGGAGCTCAGAGCAGCACCACGCTCGGCATGTGCCTCGACACACATCTGCAGAGCAGCTCCCGACACACTGCTTCAATTAAACATCAATGGAGTTCAGGAAGCCCTCTCGTGCTACAGTCAAAGTACGCCTATTAAACACTCAATCATGCACTCACAGAGCTTCCCCCCACCTGGCCGCACTCTGCTTTCATTCTGCTCAGTGTGCTAACTACGCTGTATGGCTCTTGCATGTTGCGTGACTCACTGCACAATGAGCTGACTTTGTTCCAACAGGAGGGGAAGTGATGGAGGAGCTGTGCCTTAAAATCAATTGTTTGGTAGCACGGTTTACCTGTCACACATGGCGTGTGTGATATGACGTCATTAGCACTTCATTCATAGAGAAAGAAAAAGCTGCTCACAGAGCAGGAAGCTCTGTCACCCCTCCAGCGCTTCACTGCAGGTGTGGATCAGTCCTCCTTCCCACCTGTGTTAACCTGCTCTCTCAATGAGCTGGCTGAGAAGACAAGGATTCAAGACCTGATACAGATCTGATCATCAAAACTGTCCCCAGAAAGTAAGCCTGGAGGTGAAAGAGGCAAGTTAAGGGTTGGAATCTTTTGGAAACAGTCTGATTTTACAGTCTGCTTTTATGTAAGTCTTCTGCTACATCTTCTGCCTCCTATTCTGTGATCGTCTTGAGGTTTCTCTGATTGATTTTTCCCCTTTAGAATACATTATTTAAGATTTCTGAATTAGTTGATTTTGTGATACCTGACATCCCTTTTTCCAACTTTCTAATCATCTCTATCAAAACATTTTTTTGGACAGTTATATTGGAGGTGACATTTATTGTCCACCGGGGACACAAACACACCTTGAGTAGCTTCACTGATAAGAATGCAACAAAAGAATCTGATCTGTTTATAGCGCAAACCAAACAATTGTTCTGCTGGAAGGACTTGTTGTAAAGAAGACCAAAGAAGACAGTCAACAGCGACTGAATGTTGTCTTTAATGTTACGTAAAGTGAACCAAGTACCAGCCTTTGTCTTGCACACAATGTCCAGTAGGAGCACAAATCATTTGTGCATCCCTTGTGTGTAGATGCAATTTGAAACTTGTGTAGCAAAGGTGGAGTCCACCAAAGTACAAAAGAGAAGCCAAATAGAATGAATGGCAACTGTCCCAGGTGTGTCTTAGAGTAGAGCATCGTACAGAAATGAAGCCCTCTGGGATGAAGAACATCTAATTGTGGGCTATAAAACCACCAACATTAATTATGATGAACATTAAAGACCATAGTGTCACCTCACCTCTCCCCGGTTGCAGGGATAAGCTCCTGAGTACTTGGACGTGCAGATGGCTCCGTCCTGGCCCAAAGCTGCCTTCCCCTCCTCCAGGCCGAAGGCGGCGCTGCAGTTGCCGGCGTAGTACTGCAGCATCCTCCACGTTCGCCCAAAGTCCTGCGAGCGCTCCAGGGTCATGGCGGCAGGCCTCGGTGAGCGAAACACTATGATGAGGTGGGTGAAGTAGAACTCCGTCTCCAGGTCCAGCTGCACCGTCTCAGACTCCACCCCTTCAGCCGACTGCCACCAGGTGTTCGGGTGGCGGAAGGAGGAGTCGGACATGGCCCCGGCCAGGTGGGACAGGAGAGGCAGGCCGGCGTTGCATTTGGCGCACCTGGCGGCGTCACAGGCCAGGTTGGCGTTGGGGTCGGAGTAGGAGCAGTAGAGCTCGGTGCCGTTGTTGCCGCAGACGGTCTGCGTCAGGACCCGGCGACCCAGAGCTAAGTTTCCCATGCGGGGGTTGCAGGCCCGGCTCTCGCAGCGAGGGGCCACGCCTGCACGAAACACCTCCATTGACAGACCTGCATGGAGGGAACAGAAGAGTTTACATATGTGTTCTGTGAATACAGGCTGAGGTGACACAAAATGAACTCATGGGTGTGTGTCAGGTAGTTATGGCAGGCTGTGGCACTCAGTAGACCTCAACTTAAAAGGGTCAGTTCACCTAAAAAAACCCCATCTGTCAGGGCATCTAGGCATACTTGAGCTGTGGAAGTTAAGAACCACATTTAAAAGCAGCCAATGTGTCTCAAGAGGAAGTTTAACACTAAAAACTACACAGTTTTCAATGCAAGAATTTTCTATATTTTGACGGTAGACACATTTCAGAGATGATCAAAACCAGAACTATCTTTACAGATGGTTACCATGGGTAGTCGGTGTTACAATCACATGTCATTTTTAAGAATAAGAGTAATCAGATTTGTCAGAAAACTCATTTTAAAGGCCTTCTTAGAGCTAAAATGACCTCTACACCAATCGTTTTTGCGACACACATGTAATAATTGCCCTTATTACCCAACAACAGAGTAAAACTGAGACATTCCTCAGAGATCAGCAACCAGACACACCTGAGCCTAAGTCGTGGTTTGTGTGAGAGTGAGTGGGCGAGCTGAGAAAGAGGCTGACTCAGTGTGTGTGTGTGTGTACACAAGTCAAGTGATTTACCTCAATCGGAAATGTTATGCAAAAAGGGATAATAGAGGCATTGTGCACCTGCCTGCTGCAGACTGCAGCCAGCGTGGACTCTGACACAGATAAAGTTTGGCAGCTCAGGGAGGATGAGCAGCATTCAGACGCCTTCCAGACGCTCTCCAAACCCTCCAGCGCCACAGTGTCATCCTCCAAAGTGGATTTATTATCTCAAACCTGGAGCTCTCACTTTTTTTTTTTTTTACACAGAAGACCTCACAGACAGACTCGTATTAAACCTTAGAGGATGACTTATTGGACCTTTGCAGTGAGGGAACTATTCTGGAAGGATGTTTTGTGTTAGCTGGTGATAAGTTATGTAACCGTCCATAGAGTGAGGAGTGAAACCTTGAAACAGAATGATCTTTATATGAACCATGCCAGTTAATAGGATGCAGACTGGAGTAGAGAGAGGGGAAAAAAATAGTAAACTTAAGATTCCTCACTAGGAAATCAATTTTGTAGATGTAAATCAGAATATAAATCATACATTTTGCTTTTTAAGACTAAATTTCAGTGAAAGTGACACTCAGAATCATCCTCTATTGTTCTCTTTTTCTAGCAGATTGTGATCAAAACTGGTGGCTAATAAAAGAAACTGTCAAATTAAGAGTAGTCAGAGGTTAAACAGCCTAAAAACTCAATGAACTTCTGTATTGCTGCACTTGCTCCTGGGACCAGTGACAAGAGTCTGATAAGAATCACACCAACCTGCATCTGACAACACGGCCAGACTGATCACAAACAAAACCAACATATCTCCTCGCTGCAGGAATAAATCCAAAGTATGTGGAAAAGAAAACGGAGCCAGAAAATCCGAGTTACTCAGACACAAAGTATGCAAAGGTCTCATCCACGGTGGCAAAAGTACAAAACAAAAAAAAAAAAGAAAAAAGAATCGGACAAGTGCGTAGGGTTCAGATCCAGTGTGGACTTTCTCTTTCACTCAGCTGCGATCCGGTAAGGCGATAATAAGTGAGTCGTATGAGAACACGGCATGATCCCGGACGGTGTGTGGTGTCCCGCTGACAGAGGAGAGGAGCAGAGCTGGAGGACAAGTGATCGGCAGCTCTGGGACCTGCAGCGTGTTTCATTTCCCCGCAGTGTGCGTCCGCTGCTGCGCGTCTATTTCTAAGGAGCGCAGAGACGCGGAGCTGCTGTAGTGACAGACGGAGCTCTGCGGCTCCGCCTCTCCTCCGCATTTTTCTCCGACTTAAAGGAACATTCCAGTTTGTGCTCCCCAACCTGAGGAGGGGGCCCAACATGAGGCACCGGGACCTCTAGCGGGCCGTTCTGAGGAGTTCATGTGGTCCATATCTCGCTGAAAAAAATGTTACCAGGTGATGCAGAGCAGATGTTTTAGTGCATCCATCACTAGAAACACACTGAACCTTCTCTGTTTGTAAAGGTGTAGATCTCAGAGGATAATCCCCTTAATGTTTAGAACAAGTGTCCACACAGTTAAAGCACTTTAAAGAGGTGACCTCCCCAAACAGAAAGCACAGAAGAGAATGAAACCATGCCTATATAGGAAAATAATAAATGAGAAAAGTTGATCTAAAGGAAAATAAATGTCAAAGACTACCCGAGAGCCTTACAGCATTATATTCCATCCTATTTTCAATCGTCACCTGGTTCCAGAATATAGTTCTTGTTACATAAATTAAAATTAAGGTTCCATCATGAATTTATGCCAAAAATGTAAAAATAAAAAATATATATTGTAGAAATCAGAAAATTAACTGTTTGATGTACAAAATTCCTGATGCTTAATGTTCAAAAGAAACCTGAGTCCATGCAAGTGGGTCCCAACCTGAGGGTCCAGGACCTCCAGGGGGGCTTTTGAAAAAAGTTCCAATGGTCGAGCTCTTCTTCTTCTGTTATTTAAAGTTTCAAATGTTGTCAGACGCTGCAGAGATATGACATGTTTTATTCCATCCAGCAGCAGAAACACCAAATATTCTCTGTTTGGCCAAAGTTCCTCACATGACAGCAGTGTTGCTTCAAAAAATGTCTTTCTCGATAGTAAATGACGTACAGTCAGTGCATTATATTTATATTATGAGTTGTAACCTTGTGCCTGAATTTTGTGTTTTCTTATCATAGACTAAAACAACATCATCATAAATTGGTGCAAAAGAAAATAAAAAAGTAAGAAGGTAGGAAATGAAGTGTTTGAAATACCTTTCTGTCACTAAGAACTGATGTGTTTTTGTGTGTAATATCTCAATATACATAAAGTCTAGACATTCAGTAAATGTATCTGTTTATAAGTTGGGTTTAATCATAAATGCTCACTTCAAAATTGCACTTCAGTTCTCTGTAAATAACTTGCTTCATTAAAATGAGGAGTTAACTGCACTTCAGTTGAATTAACTGAAGCTGCTAGGTTCAGGAAACTTAGAATATTACGTTGAATCGACTCGTCACATAGACTGTGGTTACAGGCTGACTTGGTTTTCCTTTTCATTTTCTAAGTTTACTGAGTTTAATGTTATTTCAATATTGAGCTGTTGAAACCATTTTAACCAGAGTCGGTTCAAAACACTCTGTGAGGCCGCTCTTGGTCACATTGGCATAAATCATCAACCATGTGTAGATTTTTGCGATAATTAGGAAACAACAAAAACAATGACAACATTAATTTAAACCCACATCAAGTTTCTACCATGATTCAAACTACAAAAAATAAGAATCTCTGGAGAGCTTTAACTGTCTAACAATGTCTGATTATAGTTCTGTCTCTTATAAACTTAATGAGTTGAGTGAACCTTAAGCCAGTCATTCATTCATTCAGCTCATTACTTTGTAATAAAACAGCTCAAGTTATTACAATATTCTTTTTAAAGTCTTAAAATGTTCTGCAAATAAACATTTATGTTCAATTAACTAAAACATTTGCATAATTTGCATATTCACAGTAAGTACACCAGAAAAGATGAGCTGATTTGAATAAATTCCTTCCTGATGTTTCACAACTTAAAATAAATCTAGTCCCCAAATAAAAATAGTCATATTAGCTAGGTGTAACTTAGATGTCTTTGATGGTTGTGTTATTATTGCTGATGTATGAATGAGTACGTTGCATTTTAATGTTCTAAATGGTGATTGCATCATACTTAATACACTTCTTTATTCTGACATTTCATTAACAGATTCTATATTTCTAATCATCAGTTTGAGCACTGAGTGATTGCGCAATAATTGTTAAGAAGGCAAGAAAAAAAAACTAATCTGTATTTCCCACTGAGACGACACAAAGTCAAAGAATAAAGAGGATATAAACGCACTCCCATTACTTAATCACTGATCAGGACCACATGATAAAACGCTGGTTTGGTTGTAAATGAGTGCTCATATCCACATTTCTGACTAATTGGCTTTGGATGCAGACACACAAAGTGATGCTGCATGAGCTGCTGACGCACTTTGAATTACACCGATTGGTTGAACCCGGCTGCGGCCTTTGTTGACAACATTGTTGGTGTCCATACAAAACCAGTGAAATATGCAAGCCAATAAACTGGAAGCTCTTTAATTCCAGTACTGCTTTCCACATGACCGTCTGTTCTCAATACTGGCTGCTTAGTGGCCTAAAAAAGAAGAGGGGGACGGGATGGAAAGTATTCGTATATGAAAAATCAACTCAGCAACAACTTCATGCTTTAATATCACAGTGCAGATTATGAAGCCTCCAGCCTGCACAGAGCACATGAACAACAGTGTGCAAGCTGCAGAGCGCCCCCCTGTGTCCACTAGTGGAACCAAAGAACAGGTAGGAAACTGGGGCTGGAGAACTGTTCTTTCCGCTCCGGCCCATTTGGGTCAAGCTCCACTGAACACAGCATGGCTTTGGCTTCTCTGTCTGCTGTGTAATCGGACCATGACCTGCTTTCTGTGCATCTGACCCGTGTCCAATAAGCAGTGAGCCAAGTTAAACTATCTCACCTGTTCACTTTGTTCTGTCCGTCCTGGTTCAGTCACTGCTGTTGCTCTTTGTGAAGGAGAAAACTTTGTTCTTTCTCAGGGAGTTCAGCTCCTTTAAACCCTGCTTCCACTCTTTACGCTAAGTTAAACCAGCCACCTGCTGGCTGCAGCATCGGACGGACATGAGAGTGGAAGTGATCTTCTTAATTTTTGGCAACAAAAGGAATGAACAAGTTTCCAAATGTTCAGTATGCCAAGGGGTCAGTGGGCTAAAATTTGGTATTTGGTCCCAAACCAAAAGTACTGGGTGGTCCATCACTGGCATGACTAAAAACACTTTTTGACGTTTGCACACAGTTGATTGGGTCTGTGAGCCCCATGCTGTACTCTTGCTCCAGTTCATCCACTCCACAGGCCCACTCAGTGTTAACTTTTGTCTCGGTTACACCAGGCAGCTCTCCTCTGCAGACTTCAAAGAGCTGTTTGGCATCAGACTGGAAAGATCCGACCGGCCTCTTCAACAAAGCTGTCCAAGACTCCAAATGATGACACCAACAAGTAACAGGCTGCAGCAGGAAGGCTGATTGCTTAGAAATAGTTACATCATTTATCCGTGTAAAAAAAAAAAAAGAAGCCAAATATGCAAATTAAAATTATGATGTGGAATGAGATCAATAAAAAGCAACTTTTTGAAATTCTCTACATTTAATGGACAGCTTATAAAACAATGGACACAAATCTGTTAATGGTGGTTTTATACCTCTTTCATTTGGTCTTACATTCTTTGTGGTCATTTTCTGTTACTTTGGGGTCATTTGTTTAGTTTTTTGTGGTATTTCTTAATATGTTTGGGACCAATTTGTGTCTCATTCGCCTCATTTTGAGTCTCCCTCTGATCATTTGGCTTCTCTTTATGGTAACTTTGCATCTCTTTCTGCTCCTTTAATGTCTATTACTATTAAGTTTAAGCGTCTTTGTGTTCATTTTGCATCTGTTTCTTCTCATTTTGTGTTGCTCTTTGTCCATTTTGGATCTCTTTCTGCTCTCCTTCTGGTCATTTGACTTCTCTTTGTGGTCACTTTGCATGTCTTTCTGCTCATTTTGTCTATATTGTTAGTCATTTTGTGTATCTTTGTGGTGATTTCTTGAGGTGGTTGGCTTGTGGTGACCTCGTTAAAGTGAGTTTTAGTCTTCTGTCTGCTCATTTTACATCTCTTTCTGCTCATTTTGTCTCAGTTGTTAGTCATTTTGCATGTCTTTGTTAACATTTTGAAGCCCTTTAGAGTAATTTTTTCATTTTTTGTGGTCATTTTGAGTTTGTTTCTGTTTCTTTGTATCTTTTCTGCTCATTTGGCCTCCCTTTGATCGTTTGCCTCGCTTTCTGCCCGTCACTTTGTGTATGTGTGTGGTCATTTTCCAGCTCTGTAAAGAAAATGTACTTTCTCCTCAAGTCATTTTGCATCTCTTTCTGTATATTTGTGATTCCGTCTGGTCATTTTGCACATTTGAACCCCTGGCCACCCCTCTAGCTCCGACTCTGTTCTGAACATACATAAACATCGTCTTCATGCCATAACTGACACAGTGACTGACTGACTGGCTGACAGATTGGTTAATTACACAGAGGGCAACTCAAAAGGAGAGGCAAGAAAAATAAGCCAAATGATGTAAGGACACGAGTATTTCAAACATGCAAAGAAAGTTCTAGAGCAATTTCCGAGGAATTTTCTGAGAGAACCCAGCCCTTTGCTGAGGAAGTCAGAAGTTAGTTTTATTCATTGTATCAGGTTTGAACTTGTCAGATGCTTTAGTAACAGTTGAACGCTTCATTGCAGAAGAAATGTGAAATCGTCAGACTGTTAGTGCCTGGAGAGAAATAGCTGCCCAGACACAGAGCCAGCACGACCCAGATATGACAGTCATTTCACTTTTTGCTCCAAAACAGGTCACAGTTTTCAATCACTGAATAATTCTTGAGTGAGGTTCATATCAATGTGACATAAGTAGAGCAGGTATTGTACACAAAGCATAGTTCAACTCAGGGCACGTTGACAGTGATGGTTTGAAAAGACTTAATTTGCTTTGGATGGTAATCCTTAAATCTTTACATTTTTTCCAAAACATGGCCTTTGAAACATATTGTCATGATGCAAAAGGGAATAATGTACATCATGAAGTGATATGAGATCATTGTAAAGTCAAATATTTTGTCACTTAGCTATTTGTTTCAGCTATTCTTGTGAGAAAAAAAAAAAAAAAAACAGATAAAAAAAATCCAGCCGATTACAACACATACATCAATGAATGTTTGAGACCAACACTTTATATCACCTCTTACTTTCTCTCTGAGCAATAATTTAAAATGCAAAATCACATCACAACCATTGATTTTAACACGTTTGTTGAGTTTGACTTTGTAGTTACAAAATCAGTATTTTAGAGGTACACAGCAACAGCTTGGGAATTGGATCTGAAGTGACTGGTGGTTAACATGTAGTCTTACTGAGCTGCGTTTCAGTCACTACTTTATACTCAATCCATTGTCTGACAACAAAAACAGAAAAGGATGCAAAAGAGAAGGGCTTTTTTTTTTTTTCTTTTTTTTAAGAAAGTATAGGTTGCACTGGAAGTAATCCACTTGATTTTCAGTTCATCAGACGTTGGGAGTGCATCGAAACTCTTGCGTTCACTCTTACAGTCAACAGCAGACCATTTGTTGTGGCGGAGATATTTTACAATTAGCAGAAGCATATTCAGGAAGTTAATATACATGGTGGACTGTGAGGCAGCTGCTCTTTCTGAATAGCTCATCTGGAAGCAGTGAGGAGGCAGGATTCTACAAAGTATGAACAAGATTACTATTGGATTGTACATAGCACTTAGGTCAAATTTTACTCACTTTCAAAGCTGGGATACTATCTAGTAGTAGGGGAACTTGAGGAATGGCAAAAGTAAACAGGTTTTTATATCTTAACAGGTTTTACTTTACACCTCCGTATTTATAAACAGCACAAAACGCAGGAAAAAAGATTTTTGACCACATGGGACGTGTAAATGAGCGGTATTGCAGTGTGGCCCTCCGGCCGCTGGGTGGCAGCAGGTGAAACACGGAAACTCCTCAGAGGTCGGAGGTTGTACTTCCTGTGCGGCAGTAAAGCGCGTGCAGCTCGTTTTGAGAACGTTTTTGTGACGAAAAGATATAAAATATCTGCATCCTAACGCAGCATTATTATTTAATTTGAACACAATGGTAAGTACAACTTTTAGATATTCACTTCAGCTCCCTGGATACGCTCTGGAAATCCCCTTAGCACTGCGCGCTGATAGTAACTAGCGTTTTTAGCGTACTTAGCATTAGCTACGTTAGCTTCTCATTCATAACTTCGATTGAATGAAAAAAAGGCGTCACATTTATGCACCTGAGAGTTATCATGGGCGATTTACTTACCTAAACGGGAACATTGTGGGTTTATTCTTTTCTCTTATCGTTTGAAGTGAAGTTAATTGGATTAAGGTTGGCCTGTATTTGAGGAGAGGAAGTCACACCAAACTTCATTCAAAAATCTCTTAATTGAGCGGACATGCGCTTATAGACAAACAAGTGCTAAACGTCGGAGAACTTAACCTGTGTAATCGTTTAGCTTTATGTTTATACTTGTGAAGATATTGTTTCTGTTAGGTTGGCTGGGCTACACACAGATCTATGTTTGGAAAACTGTGCACACTCTGTGAGACAAATAGTGCAAAGAAGGGGTGTATGATTGATCATATAACAGTCAGGGTGCTGTATCTGTGTTCAGTATGATGCAGGCTGCACCAGCAGACAGTTCTGTTAAATAATAACAATAAACTGGGGTGAAAAGTACATTGGCATACACAGTGTACTTTACTTGAGTGTTTCCATAGTTATCCTTAAACTCACCTAATTTCAGAGGGATGCATTGTACCTCTTACTCCACTACATGTATCTGACAACTTCAGTTTCTTTTATGATGATGATCTGACAGACTAGATGATATAATAAGTGTTTATAATACAACACAATGTTAAAAATGAAACTTGTTGTTTCTAATCTTTTTGCCTCAGATGTGTAACAGAATGCATACATATAGTTATATCTGAGATGTCCATCAGGGACCAACAGCTCCACCAAACAGTGTTTTTTTTTCCCTTCTAAATTTCTCACTGGGTTTAATTTGAATACAAGTCCAATGATCCAATATCCCCAAACTGAAATGAGATTTGTGAATCCGAACTTTGGTTTTACTACTTTACTTTCTTATCAATTATATGACAAGTCCTCATGTTTATCTGCTGTATATAAAACTGTATATAAAGTATTTCAGACTTGCTCCACCTACACAAACTACAATGGTAACATACGTTTGACACAGTGATGCTTCACCATTAATAAGTTGATCAGCATATATAATAATAGTCAGGAGCGCTAAACTGGAGCCTTTTTAAATTTTTTTTTTGTGAATACTTTTTCCACCACAAATGATTCAAAAAACAAAGTTGCACTTGAGATGCTGCCTTCACCACATCACGTAGTAGAAAAGGTCACTGAACAGGCATTTTCATTTAGCATGTGCTGGTGATAGGCTAAACAAAACAAACTGTTTGGCAGAGCTTCTGATTAAATTTTAAGAAAGTTTTGCAAAATACAAATTATTGTAATTTTGGCGACTGAGTACTACCATGTGTAATGTTAGCATACATGTCTCAATATAATGTGTAGTGTCTAAGTGTTTCTACTAACCTGTCTAATCTTTCTCTCCAGAGTTTACCTCTGAACCCAAAACCATTCCTGAACGGCCTCACAGGCAAACCAGTGATGGTGAAACTGAAGTGGGGTATGGAGTACAAAGGCTACCTGGTGTCTGTGGATGGATACATGAATATGCAGGTGGGAGCATTTTTTGCGTTGTTCTAATAGAAATGTTGATTGATAGCCACAATATCCCCATCTTTGCTCATGGAGAGAGAATATTATATTCAGCTCTTTTGGGATATTGTGTCATTGTTAATGACATTGTAAATCACAGGTTGCATTTTGATTTTCACGTTCCTGTACTGTGTCTGGGTTGTTATTCCAACTTGACTTTGAACTGTTTGAACTGATTTTTGTTTAGTTTAGTTTTTTTTTTGTTACCAATGCCCGTTATTCAGAGAGCACGGCAGCTAGTACATAAAGCCAATATTGTGCTGTTGGATTTGTTTTGTTTTTTTGCATCTGATTAAAATAGTGTTATGTCAAAAAATGACAAAATTTGCTGAATTCAAGTAAGCATTTAATACATTCATGTCTGCATTGTGACAGTTTGCTTGAGTAGAACTATTCATGACTCTCAGCACACTCAGTTGCCACTTTGTTTGAAACACTGATCTATAACTAATACAGTCTAACACACTGGTTCTTTCCTTCATCAAGGGTGTAAAAGTGGTGTTTAAACTTCTTTAGAGAGATGTTGATCCGTGTGTTCACTGTGGAGCTGCAGTTTGTTGAACTGTATTGTGTTATACTTAAACATGGATATGTTGTAGCCCTGTTCAATCAGTGAGAACAGGCTACATTACAAAACAAACAGCCGCTCCGGTTAAAATCATTCTGTTTTACCTTGTTAACATGTCCACATGCTGTTTCTTCAAATGCTGGAAAATACATAATTAACGAATCAAGCAGTCAACATCACAGCTGAGCATTTCCACCTTGAAACTGCAGTTTACTAATGACAGTGTAAGCACATTCAGACTAATATTGTTCTGTACGCAACAAACTGATCCAAACCAATCCTGTCAGTTTGCAAGGTGGGGCTTTGTGTAGCATGGAGGAAAGGTCTTGATGAAGATTATCAGACATTTCTGTTGGAATTGTTAGAGCAGTGATCTCCAACTCCAGTCCTCGTGAGCTACTGTCCTGCAACACACCTCATTCAAATGAATGCATCTCCAACAGCTTGTTGTCAAGTTCTACACAAGTCTGTTGTGTTGCAGTACGGAAACATCTAAAACCTGCAGGAAGGGAGCTGACGAGGACCGGAGCTGGAGATCCCTGTGTTAGAGAGACTGACTCTTTTGATGTAGTTTGCATTACTATTAATTGTAGTAATACATGTGATACAGAAACAGGATGAACAAAATAATAGAAGCTCCTGTTGGAACAATGCGTTACAGTTCAACAGCACTACAATATGGCCAAACAACTGAAATGACACATTTCTTTGTTTTTTCAACCAACTCTGAACATCAGGATTTGTTGCAGGACTTTATTAGTTTCATATGGGTGAGCCTAATAAATTATAATCTCACGCTGTGCAGTTGACACAAGAAACAATCTTATTTCTGGGTTTTAATGATGCAGCCTTGTGATCCTTGTTTCAAACTTTTTCTGACAGAATTTCCAAATACGGATGTCGTGATACAAGAAATCTGGAAGTCAGTACAAATACCACTGACATTCTGTGATTCTTGGTCTTACTTTGAAAACCAGAGCGAAAAATAAACCCATGACATGAATGTGTTTCAACTTTTATTTGAAAAATACTATGATGGATATTTCAAGTAACAAAAAAAGACATGCAAAGGTGTTAAATCCTAAAATAAGGAAAGAATGATTGAATACCTTCATGTCATTTTAACTTGTGTATTCTGCCCAATGTACAGCTGGCGAACACAGAAGAGTATGTGGATGGAGCGCTGGCAGGACATCTGGGTGAAGTGCTGATCAGGTAATTAAACACCTTGATCTTTAGTCCTCAAGCAGTTCAGTGGATGATGAATTACTGATTTTTTCTGTTGTTCCACAAGATTGTATAAAATCTGATGACAGTGTTTTTAAAAGACTTTTCCTGTAAATATGGCACAACATTCTTTTGCCTCATTCACAAGATTCCTAACTAACCTGCGTTAATAAGTAACGTCTTTTTTTTTAAAGACATCAGCGGTGGAAGCAAAGGAGCTTCTGTGTTTCTTTCTGCAGCCAATTATATCAGGACTTTGTGTTTCTCCCCACAGGTGTAATAATGTTTTGTACATCAGAGGCGTAGAAGAGGAGGAAGAAGACGGAGAAATGAGGGAGTGATGTCGGTGAAGAGGACTCGTCCCGATGTTCTGTCTGAGTGCGACTGTACCTCGTAGTTGAGTTAATGTGTGTTTGTGGTTTCACCATGTGAAACAGATGAACGCTTGGGGTTTAAGGTTATTTTTCAAGAAGCTTTGAAATGATTCTTTTCTTTTTTTTTTTTTTTACTGTATGTGAGACCAAGTTTGTTTTGTGATACAGACAAAATAAAATGATCATTGTGCCCTTTCTTAAACAGGATTTTTGTCTTTTGTGCTTCTATGTGGTTGAGTTTGTATATGACGGTCCGCCCCTCTATGTGCACTTTACACTCTTCTCTCCTGGACAAATATTTGCTTGTTCCCAAACCAGTTGAAGCCCAGTCACTCGTGAAGCCTCCGCTTTGAGTCAAAATGTCCAGAAATTACAGACTACTGGTGAAAAATGCCAAACAGGTGGTTTTGATCTGCAACAACGAAGAGAAGTACCTGATCAAACATGGAATGCAAAATCTCTGTGTGATTGAAAATGGCAGCATTGTGATCGGGAGGTAAGTTTTCTAAACTGCAACAAAAGTCAAAGTAGATTGAGGAGAAGTGATTTGAACATTTACCTGCACATTTGCAGACCTCCAAGCTTCAGACCATGTGATGGGTTTAGTTCTCTAAAAGTTGCCACAGATCTCTGGACAGCTCCAATCGAAATGCAGATTTGCAAAGTTTCGTAATGCACAGCAGCAGCAAGAGGATTTAAGTAAATTGATGCATATCGGTGTCCCCCAGAGGCTGTAGTGGCTCATTGCAGACCAGCAAATTTAGCTCCTGGTTAAATTGAAACTTCTGATTATTATTT